AAAAAAAAAAAAAAGACCCCAAGATGGCATTCTCTTTATATTCTCTTAGTGAAGACCTATACTGGAATAACCTTTTTGGAAGGGAATATAGTATTAACTATTAAATTTTTGATATTTTATAAAAATACAAATCTCTCTAAGAATTTACCCTACAGAAAAGTATTAAGAAAAAAGAAAAAAGAAAGTGTATAAAGAGACACGCATTGAACCTCAACCAAGAACCGAGGACACACACTGCAGTTCAGGAGTGAAGGACTTTCTCCAACATCATGTTTCACCTACCAATGAAAACTCCAGCATAAGAAGATCGAGAAGCGGAACCTGAAATGTGGCAACAAAACTTAAAGCTAGAGAGGGAATCTGGTGTGTGCATTATCAGAGGCACAAAATGGAGATGTGCCTCAACCAACAGTGGGAGATGAAAAGATAGAAAAGCCCTAAAACCATCTATGAAGGCAGGATTCTCAAGAACCCAAAATGGAGACATGTCTAAAGAAACAGTAGAAAATGCAAAAGTTAGGAAGTCTCCCAAGGAATCTGTCATTTTATCCAATGGGGAAACAACAACACAGTTTCCCAATTCCTAACTGAAAAATAAAAATAAAAATGGAGGATGCTGCCAGACCTAATTTTAAAAAGCAAAAATAAAAGACACAGAAGAGCCTAAAGAATGCTGTGTCATGCAAGGTTCCAGCAGATGCAGAAACAAGAGTGGAAAAGCCAGACGAGGAGGAGGACGGTAATCCTGAAGTACCCAGCCTGCCCCTGGGACTGACTGGTGCATTTGAACAAGTTCATTTGCTTCTCTAAAACAACTTGTCCATGAAAACACTCTGAGGGTGATTAAAGAAAAGGGCCTATCAAACAAGATTAAAATTCAACATAAAAATATTAGACCATTTCTGGAAGGCAAGGATCTCCTAGCAGCTGTAAAAACAGGCAGTGGTAAAACCCTTGCATTTCTCATCCGTATAGTTGAACTCAATGTTAAGTTAAAATCCATTCCCAGGAATGAAACAGTTGTTCTTATTCTCTCACCTACTAAGGAACTGGACATGCAGACATTTGGTGTGTTTAAGGAACTAATGACATACCACTTTCACATGTATGGGCTGATCATGGGGGAGGGGAGGTAATTAAAGGAATGGACATCTTTGTAGCCACATCAGGAGGCCTCCTGGACCATATGCAGAATATCCCAGGGTTTATGTATAAAAATATATATATAGTGCATGGTTAATGATGAGACTGGCTGTATTTTGGATGTTGGGTTTGAAGAGGAATTAAAGCAAAGTATTAAACTTCTACCAGTATGCTGACAGATCATGCTTTTTTCTGCTACTCAAAATGAAAAGCTGAAGACCTGCGGAGGATTTTCTCTGAAAAAGAAGCCTTGTATGTTGGTGTTGATGATGATAAAGCCAATACAATCGTGGATGGTCTTGAGCAGGGATACACTGTAAAAAAGATTTGAAAAAAGATCCTCTGAAAAAAGATTCTTTCTGTTCTTTGCGTTCCTTAACAAAAAAGCAAAAGAAGAAACTAATGGTGTTCTTTTCATCCTGCCAGCCTGTTAAGTACCACTATGAACTGCTGAACTACACTAATTTGGGTGTTTTGACCATTCATGGAAAACAGAGCAAAATAAGTGAGCCACCGTATTTTTTCAATCCTGCAATGTAGATTCAGGGATACGGTATCCAAATATGGCAGCTCAAGGGCGGGGCATTCCTGAAGTCAACTGGATTGTTCGGTATGACCCTCCAGATGACCCTACAGCAGTGGTTCTCAACCTTCCTAATGCCGTGACTCTTTAGTATAGGTCAAGTTGTGGTGACCCCAAAACCATAAAATGATTTTCGTTGCTACTTCATAACTGTGACTTTGCTACTGTGAAGAATAGGGCAACCCCTGTGAAAGGGTCGTTCAACCCCCAAAGGGGTCGCAACCCACAAGTTGAGAACAGCTGCCCTAAGGAGTACATTCATCATCTGGGTAAAAACCAGTTAGGGGCTTAAATTGAAGAGGACATTTGTCGCCTTGCTCATTTTGCACCTGAAGAAACGGGTTTCCTTCATCACTTGAAGCAAATCAAGGTTCCACTAAGTGAATTTTGAGTTTTCCTAATCCAAATTTTAGCTTGGAAAAATTATTGAAAATAACTACTTCCTTCATAAGTCAGCCCAGTAAGCATATGTCATACATTTGAGCATATGATTCTTACTCTCTGAAACAAATCTTTAATGTTAATCATTTAAATTTGCCTCAAGAGACTCTGCATGGGTGTCAAAGTACCTCTTTTTATTGATCTGAACACAAACAGCAATGAAGGCTAACAAAAAGTGAGGAGGAAGTGGTAGATTTGACTATATGAAAACCAAAGAGGTTGAAAAGTCCAAGATCTTTAAGAATATTAACAAGAAATTATCTGACAGCAGGTAGTTCTCACTCTGAAGCCACACCTTCCTTCATTTGAATAACTGTCCTGAAATGGATTTGTTAGGTAGCTAGCATAGGGACTGGGGCGTCCATTATGCATACTGAGGTTCGAGCTTCCAACAAGGGGAGGTACACCTGGGTGGGCGCTGCACCTGGATTGGCCCACGTAGGCCAGGTGAATTCCATTCAGCCAATGGGGTTGACCAGGGTCGTCCACCACATCTCCCAGCGGAATTGAAAAAGGCAGGAGCCGGGAGCCAACCATGTGACTTTCTGAGCAGCTTCTAGGGAGGCTGCACAGGGTGAAGGGTCCTGCGGGTGTCTGTGTAAACCTGAAACTACTACTCTCATAAAACTCACTTGGATCACAAAGCAGGCTTGGCGGAGCCAAGGACCAAGGTATATCTCTCCCCTGAGAGATCTAACAGATTTTCTTCATCTTGGCCTAAAATGGGAAGTTTTGCAGCCTTAAGGATTTGAACTGATTTATCAAGAATTTAAATTGGAAGCCCTGAGGGCTGACTATTTCGGCAAACACCACCCCCTTTGGGGGGAGGGGCATATAAATCAGTTAACCATGTTCAAAGAAAAGGAATATTTTTAATCT